CTCCGGCTGGGGGCTGAGGAGGTGCTTTCCCTGAAAGCTCTCTTCCCCCTCCCGGCAACCTTGAAGCTCCATTCCAGAATCCTCCCTGCTCATGTCTTCCATCACAGCAACTGTGTAAATGTGTTGAGAAATATAAATGCAAATGCCTTGACACTTATTCAAGGGAGTTCTCATGTCATTCTTCTTGGAGAACAACTATATCAACCAGCAATTAATTCAACCAATGCATATTTCTTACATGCTGGATTCCCAAGCAAAAGAGTGGCACAACACGGTCTGCAGGAAGACTTGTCAGAATGCCTCTGATGACTATAGTGGAGAATTATCAGACATTTTTTACAGAGATGTTTTCTCGCCAATATACAGACAACAACAACTCTTACTATTACAATGACACAACAGCAAAAGGATGGAAATGGAAGATCAAATAGGAAAAGCAGAATGGAGAAGGTTTAAATCAAGGACGGGCAATGTTTTTACAGCAGAAGGATGCACTGTATTAAAATTTGGCTTCCATAGGGAATATGGCAATATCATTGGAGAGGTGGCACTATTTACAGGGTAGGTTCTATTTTCTTCAAAACTAAAAATGGTATGCTAAGCTTATCAGTCTTAATGCATCTATTTTGCTTCTTATTTCTGCAAAACTCCCCCAAATATTGTGCCACCAAACTGGGGAAGGACAGCCTTGTAGGAGTCAGCATGAGCCCTTCCTCCCCTTTGTTACTCCCCGCCCCCTGTGACTTTAAGACAGCAGGAGGAGCCCTGGACCACATCTGGGGCTCCAATTATAAAAGGAAAATGCTGTTAGCGCCTGAGTGATTGGGGTGGGGATTTTTGTTAGGTGAGAAAGCTGATGTTGCAGAGTAAAGAATAGCATGGCAGATGACTGATGGTGAAGGAGGAACGGACATGGATGCCACCAAACAACATCAGAAGAGCTGAAAGGGACAGCAAAGCTGAGCCGCTTCTCCATTTCAGCAGAGGTGATAAAGGCATCTACCTTCCACCCCCAAGTCAGACTGAAAGACCATGCAAAGCAAACACTTCAGCAGCAATTCAGAATAGCAGCTGATAGCAACTGAAGCCAACTATCTTCAAGGTGGCTAAATGGTGGCTAAAGACTGTGTTTGTAGCTCAGGGGACAAAGGAGACTCTTTCTAAGACTCTTTAGCATTTCACTGCACACATAGGCATAAATACATACATTGGAAGTATAGTATAGGTTTAGTGATATGAGTTCAGTGATAAGAAATACATTTGTTAAGCTTTTTGTATAATGAAAGCCTCCAGGGAAGATGACAACAACCTTTTTTGTTCATAGTCTGTATCATTTCCCTAAATAACCCTCTCACACACATATTATGATTTTGTCACTGGATTTCAGTAATGTAATTTAGGGGAGCTCTTAAACAGAATGTGGGAGTCCAGGCTTGACTTAAACACCTCTTGTCTGCTGCTTCTCCTTTCCAATGGCGTATTATTTTCCTGTTTTGCTATTTGGTATTAACTTGGCTTCTGGCCCCTGTTTGCTGCTCAACATCTAGTTCAGCCCTCTATCAGTTGACCATGAGAAAGAATAAACCCATTGATCGTAATGATTTGATTCCTACCATTTACCCATGGACTGACTTTACATGCTTTTATTCAGTCATGACATTAAACTCCACAGCACCAGCTAGCAGTTAATCCCCCGGTCAATTGTGCATTGTATGAAGATATAACTCTTTTTGCCCCTTCTCTCTGTGTAAGCTCAGTAAGATAAGCCACTGCTTGATAGAGGCACATAGGTTTTTTTCCCTCTATATCCTGGTTGATGATGTCTAACTTGAAGAACTAAGATTATGTGAATTACAAACAATGGCTAAAGAAGGGAAGAACTCAGTTCCAGAATCCTACAGTTTCAAATAGCAGCTGATAGCAACTGACATGATACGAAATAATGACACAAGACAAAGCAATAACCATAAATTGCCAATTTGGGTATTACAGCAAACTGTAGTTAGCAAATCCCAGGAGAAGAAGGAATTTATGCAACTAATGGAACATGGAATGCAGGAGCCCATTGTCCTGACTGACAAAGGATAATGGTGACATTTACATCTCAGGAAATGTCAGTGCCTGCATTTGACATCTCAGTTTACATGAACTGTATAATACAGAATGGTTGAAAACACTCAGAGCAATTATGAGTTTGCCACAAGTTAGAGCCTAAATAAGAACAGGGTAAATGGATTACTCATGCTTATGTGGTATCTGTAAGTTTTTAAAAAATACCTCCGTGATTATTTTTATTGCATATTTTACTAGGCTTTAATCATGTTTTAACTATTACCACTTTCAAATGCTTAGACCAAAAATCCTTATAAATATTAAGATATTTAAGTAAAATATATGTTTCATTAATTCTGTCCTCTACCACAAAACATTTGGAGATGCTTGAATTTCTCTTGTTAAAAACTCTGATTAATTGCCTTATAGAATAAGCATATATAGCAATTTTGAGAAATGCTTTTATCCACTTTTGCTTTTGGAATTAATCTGAGGTGTATATATTGAAAGATCGTCCCATTATCCACTGATGTGGTGTCAAAAAGAAACTTACTTTTATACGTTATTCTTGTTATGGTGTCTCTGTTAAGCATACGATTTAGAAATGGATTTGATGATTCAGATACCTGTGATGGAAAGAATTCATTGTCAAAAAGAAAAAAAAAGCAATAACCACAAACCTCTTATTTTTGGAAAATCTATTTACCAGGATGGGTGGGTAGGAGGAAGAGAATCAAGGGACAAATACAGAATTAGCAAAAAATGGTGACGTTGTGCAATCAGATGAGATGAGTACTGGTGGATAACTTTGGACAGTGCAGACTAAGAGAAAACAGAAAGGAAAGGGACCTGTACTCCGAAGGCTCTGGGTGTGAGCTGCATCAAGTTCTTGCCATTCTAGTTTTTGATTTTAACTGAAAACCTAATATTGGGGAAAAGGCATAATGTGACATGGCTATGCTGTGGATGAGGAATGCCTTTTAATCCACTCAGGCAAGACTGGTAATGAATCACGACTCTTGGCATCTATTTTGTGGGGATATGAGTAGGCTAGGCTGAAGGAGCGTGCTCCAGACTCATTAAAAGGCTCTCATGGAGGCAAAAATCTGGAGCAGAACCCTGTCTGCTCTGATGGTCACCACAGCTTGATGTAACATATTCTGCCTCAAATCACAGCATGCTGCATTCTCATCTATGCTGCAGTTATAGTGGGATAGACCGTGGATTCAAAACAATTTCTAGCTGTAGCATTTAGGAAGGGGGAGGAGGTTTGGCATCAACCTACCTTCCTGCCTAATCACAGTCAAGAACACCATTCTTCCAAAGCCAACATTCAGGAAAGACAATGACTGATATGGCCTTAAAATACTACCCCAGAAAGATAACGAAGCCCTTCCCCTCTTGCTTTGAGGCCAGGTATGAATCTGCTTCTTTGTGGCTTCTTCTGCTGCATTTTGAAATAGTTTCTCCCCCGTTCTCTGCTCTGATTTAGAACAACGCTTGGTCACATTTTCATGTGGTGGTGATGCTTCAAGGCAAGACAGAGTGAAGGTTCCAAAGTGGAATCTGACCACGAATTTTATATAAGAATTAGCTAGCGCTTGTCATGCTGACTCTTGGGCTTGGACTACATGACAGCCAAATATGCGATATAGTCTAGGAATAACTCAGAACAAAAATGTACTAAGAAAGTCTTCAGAATGCAATTCCCACCTGCGTTGTCCTTTCTCTATTCTTTTTTCCCCCTCTTTATTTTTATTATCCAAAGAGCAGGATGGAGGGGGGAGCATTTGGAATACATTCTGAAGTGTTCTGATAGTATGAAAAGAATAGACCTTTTTTATTGGATTAATTTCTGTTGTAGACCAGGGGCACTCAAACAGTGTGATACAAAGGCTGGTGTGGGTCTTCCGGGCTGTGTGGCCGTGTTCTGGAAGTTTTGTTTCCT